TGAATTTTTGAAGTAATTATAGATACGGGACTTAGGGGACATGAGAGCGAAGGAAGAAAAGCGGTGAAAGCATTAAATGAAAAGGGATTCTGGGAGGGTGGGGTGATGCCAAACACATATGGTGATGTAAACCGCCTTGCTAGCTTCCGGCTCTAGCTAATCGTGAACCCTAAAACCCTAAACCCTACACCCTAAACCCTAAACCCTAAACCCTACACCCCAAACCCTAAACCCTACACCCTGAACCCTAAACCCTACACCCAAAAAGTCCTCTGATGGAGGAGTGGCTGGAATTGGTCGACCCGAGGCTTCGCGTTTAGGGTCTTGGGGGTAGGTAATGCATAATCTCCCCGTAAATAATTAATCCCAGGCTTTAGGGTTTAGGGTTTATAAACCCCAGACTCACCCTTTATAAGTAAGATACCTAACCCATTAGTAACCCCAGGGTTCCACAACGGAGGGTTAGTGTTTGGGGCTCAGGGTCGAGTCTATACCCCTAAGGTCTTCGGGCTTTAGGGTCTGTAGGAGTTTAAGCTTCAGGGTTTTGTACAATCCTTGGGATTACAAGTTTAGGGTCGCTGGGGTGCCTGCCCTCAACTCAGGTACGCGGACAGGCGGGTACTCGAAAATTACATTGGCAGCATATGTTTTGGAGGCTTTAAGTTTTCCCTGGTCAAGGGTTTATAGACAGCGTGGTGTTTGGGGTTTATGGTCATTGTGTTCGTGTCTTTCTGTTCTATATAGCCCTGGACAAAAAAGCAACCACACCCCCCAAGGCAGGTTCAGCGCCGTTTGTGATTTAAGGTTAGCTTGGGGTTTGGGAGGGGTTTAGGGTTTAGGATTTAGGGTTTAGGGTTTAGGTTTGGGGTTTTGGAGTTCGGGCCGCCAACAATGTGATTGAGCACACCTTCATTGTCATTGTGCCTCAGTACTGATTGGCTCTTAGCTAAGACATCAGACCCTGAACTTGCGGGATTCCCCTATATTCCTATTACAGGTACCTTAAAAAAGTTAACTTTTAGTAGGGGTGCTAAGTGCCAGGGTGGTAAAAGTCCCAAGCAAGCTCCCAACAGAGAGGCACAGAGTTCACTGCTTGGGGAGTTCTCTTGGGCACCTCTCGAAAGCAGGGAATCCGGGTAACCCTAAACCCTAAAGCCTAAACCGTAAACCTTAAACGGGTCTTGGGAGTCTCTTTCAGCTGGGTGAGGACACGGGCGGTAAGTATCGGAAACAATCCCGGAAAGTCCTTTCTTCCCCAAAGGGTCCACTTATACAACTATTAGGGAATTGGGACCCATAATTCCTTCTACAGTAGGGTATTTTGGGACCTAATTCCCTAATTGTTGTATATGTGGACCCTTTGGGTTCTAGAGTTTGCAACCATTTTGCTAGGCTTATTTCGCAAGTTATCCTGGGGCTCAAGCGTAGTTCCCTTTGAGGTGGTATTTTACAACTAGCTACGCAGGAACCTCACAGCATCTTGGGACTTTGCAAAACGCTGTATAGCCCAGCTTCCATGTAATCTCCTTTTATCATTTCAACTTGGTTCTCCATTCTTGGGGTAACCGACACGCCCGAAGTCCCAAACCCAAACCCGGCCTGCACTTCAACCCCTAACCACTTGAAAGTACACATGAGCCATAGTCTGAACTCCTTAAAGGGGGTTATATAGGGGATTATATAGGGGACTACTATTGGGGTTATTAAGGGGGATACTAGGAGTTTAGACAATGGTTCACATCAGGCACCATGTACAAGACGTGACCTCCCAGTACATCTCCAAGCGGCTGACGGAGGGGAGTGCGAAAACTTTCCTTGGGCAGGCAGGTTATATTGGGATAATGGAAAAGAAAATGGAAACTATTACAATGGGGTTATATAGGGATTATAATAGGGTATATATTGGGGTTATATTGGGATAATGGAAAAGAAAATGGAAACTACAGGGATATAGGGGTTTATATAGGGATTATCGGGCTTAGGGTTGAAGGGTTTTGGGTCCTAGGAGTCAGGGTTTTAGGGTCTAGGTGAGCGTTAGAACTTAGGGTTTAGGATTTTTCTGGCCTTAGGTTACTGTAGCTGGGAATGAAGGCATGGGAAAAGAAAATGGAAAATCGTATTGGGTTCTATAGGGACTACTATAAGGATCCATTCCTTCCTTCCTAGCTAACCAAAGGTAAGATTCGGGTTGAGCAAGCTGGACCCTTCAAACAAGGGAAAGGATAATAAGCTTTGAGCACACCACTTGCTTTTTTTTTTGATGCATTGCGTACTCTAAGTAGGGGTAACCCTAGAAGCCCAGTTACCTATACATTGGGTTCCTGTCCTTGGTTCCCTATATAAACCTATACTGTCCATAACCCAAGAACCGCTTCTAGGGTAAGGTTTTGGGTTCACGATGCAAGTCTTCCGGCTTCGAGCTTTGAATTCATTCCAGACACGTGATGAACTGGCCTCCCTAGTACCCCCAACATACCAAAACAGACCTACCTGAACCCCCAAAAGTATGTAAAATAATGGCCTTTTGGGCTATATAAAGGGGTTTTGGGCTATTATTTTACCTACTTTTGGGGGTTTAGGTAGCAACTACAGGAAACATAGCCCCGGATAGTAGCGCATCATGCTCCCAAACCAGAAGCCGCAAGGGCTAACTGTTAGTATTATTCAACTATGGGGGTTGCACGTATACTCTATTACACTTATTAAGTCTTCCTGTGAATATTCAACCTAGTATGTGATGAAATTATGGTGGGGGAGGACATTATTGCGGAGAGGTAATTATGTCCGATCATATATTGCTCCAAGATTGGTCCATTACATCCCAACATAGAAAAGCATATAACCCCAGTCGCCATTTATTGTCCAATCTCTTCTCAATCTGATTCTCCATTACGGTACCCCAATCCCTACACCCTAAACCCTTTATCTCCCCATCATTCAGGCCCAGCTAAGCTTTTGCTCACGCAGAGGTGCTCTCACTGGATGTGACCACGCTGGCGGTCGACGACCCGGTGAAGCGTGGCCTGACGTTACTGAAAGACGCGGGTAAGATGCAAGTTTTGATGGTTTAGGATTTAAAATTCAGGGTTTGGGGATTAGGATGAAGAGGGTAAGATGCAAGTGTTAAGGGTGTAAGTCTATTCGTGATTTAGGATTTATAGGGCTTAGCCCCAAGAGTATGCACGCTTTAGGATTTAGGGTTAAGGATTTTGGGTTTAGGGTTTGAGGCTTAGGATTTAGGGGATTAGGTTTATCTTGAGGCTTAGGATGTAGGGATTTAGATTTTAGGGTTTGAGATTTGAGATTGAGGGCTTAATGTGTAGCATTTCGGCTGCCGATTCTAAGGTTCAGGAATTAGGCTTTTGGGTGTAGTATTTAGTCTTCAGGGTTGAGGCTGTAGGATTTCAGGGTTTAGAGTTTAGGATTTGAGGTTTGGTGTGTGGGCTTCAGGGTTCAGAGAGTCTAGGATTTAGGGTACGGGGCTTGGGATTTTGCTGGAAAGCGCGATTAGGTTGGGATTTGGAAGCTGTACTTTGCCACAGCTTTAGCATTGTTTCATGTGAAAGCAGCTACAATACACCTTTAAGTGGCTGCCTGGCGAGCGAGCATCCAAGATGTAACTTGGTCGCTGTTGAATGGTTTTCTCACTTCCCATCTTTTCAAAGCCCAATAAGGAATCTGAAAGCATGTAGAACCTCTTCAGCCTAGGCAGCCTAGGGCTTATGAAGTTTAGGGGTTTGTGGGTTAGGGTTTAGGGCTTGAAGTCTAGAGCTTTATTTCGTGCAAGCTGGTGTCACTGCTTTTCGGGCTACGCCTGGCTTTCAGTGAAATACGAGTAAGTACCTGGAGCCCCGAAAGAAAACTGATGATCCATGAATCTAAGAACCCTACTGACAATCATGAATGACATTTTCCGCGCGCGTTTGCGGTCCAGGTAGGGCTTGGTTGGCGTTAGTTGGGGTTGAGGGTGAGGCAAATCTATTCAGATCAGCACAAGTCATGCTCTATAGTCCCAACGGTGGACACTAAGAACCCTGCATGACAGTGACCTTAAGTACCTTATACCTTGGGAAGTATGGCTTTATGATATACGAAGGTCATGCAGGATTTTTAGCAGCAACCGTGGTGTCAAAACCTCAATGGGCTGAAAGAGACGTAGGATTTCCGAGACGGGGGTGATTGATTTATAAGGATCCCTACACCCTAAAGCCCCCAGCATTTGGGTCTTTGAACCCTTAGTGGATGCTTGTCGGGCTCCCAGCGGACATGCGGGCTAGAGACGAAGGGTCAGTGTATGGTGTACCTTTAAGGGGTTGTAAGGTTATATAGGGGTTCTATAAAAATGTGTAGGGCTTAGGGCTGAGGGATAACTGTCCAAGCACCCAAATAATGGGGTTTTAGGTGCCAAGTTGGGACGTAAAGCCCCATCGTTTGGGTACCTTGGGTACTTGGCCCAAAGGGTCCACTTATACAACTATTCGGGGATTGGGACCCATAATTCCTTCTACAGTAGGGTATTTTGGGACCTAATTCCCTACTTGTTGTATATGTGGACCCTTTGGGTGCGAGTATAAAGTGCGCACGGATTGGGTCTACGTCTTGCGCGGCCTAGGCTCCTAGGGCTCGTTTAGGGTTCAGGGTTTAGGGTGGAGATTGCAAAAAACACGGTTTCTGGGAGCCCAAGGAGTGCGGACGTACAACCCAAAGCCAAGTAGCTCTGATCCCTAATTCCTGAAAAAGGGTTATATGTAGGGGACTATATAGGTTTAGGGTTTAGGATTTGCGTAGGGTTTGGGGTGCAGGGTTTAGGGTCTAAACTCCTCAAAGGGGGGGTGTGTGGGGGATTATATAGGGGACTGCTATAGGGGTTAGTAAGGGGCTACTAGGGGTGTAGAGAATGGCTCAGTCAAATAGCTCTGATCCCTAAACTCAACTCCCAGAGTCCAAGGTCATGACCAGATGGGCTTCGGAAAGCGTATATAGGACTCTGTAAAAATGTTGGCGTGTGTATCCCTAAGGGTCCAAGGACCCAAATAATAGGGTTTTAGGCCCAAAATACCATTCTTATTCTGGTATTTGGGGCCTAAAACCCTATTGTTTGGGTCCTTGGACCCTTAAGGTATATAATGGGTGCCCGACTTCTGGGACCGTAAGAAGAATCACGGGTCACATGACGCTGAAAAGGATAGAGTCAAGCCCTCTGTGCCAGCTAGCTAGTGAATTGCTTTGAGGATCGGACAGCCAGTTCCAAAACAACGTAGAGACGACAGGATGTTTCAAGCGCACTCCTAATAAGGGCGGTTTAGGGTTGAGGGTTAGGTTAATGGCTTAGCCGTTCACCCCGTACCATTGTATGGAAAGTGTAGCGCTCGCAAATGATGAGTGTTTGTCTGCTTGATGAAATGCAGAAATTGTAGTTTCCATAAATAGGGATTATTGCTTAGTCCTGATAATCAAGACTTTCATATCTGGGGGTCTATAGTGGGGCCTCCCTATTTAGGGAAAGTATGAAACCCCCATAAACCCCTGCATGAAACTCAGTTTCCACGTTATTTTCCATGTTCTTTCTGCCTCGTCAGGCTAAAAACTCTGTCTGGCCCCATCAAGGGACTACTCGAAACCCCCCTTTCAAGAATGACTCCCTGGTGCTTAGTAGGGAATGGGGGAATAATCCCTATACTAGTCCTGATATAATCCCCCCTATAGTAATCCTTATAATCCATTCCCCCATTCCCTCCTAAGCACCAGGGAGATGACTACTCCAGCTGCCAGGGGCTATATCTGCCTTAGGGGTACATTGCACAGGGGTTATATATGGGGTTCCTAATTGGAAGTTCGTCTCCTTATCACCCCAATCATAGCCTGTACAAACAAGGCCAGAAAACCCTCAGATGGAGTTAGGCTGCTTAAAACCCCGCTTATTGCCTACTTAAAAAGTCCCTTGTGCCTTTATAGTCCCCCTCGAGTAGATGGAATATGGCTATTTGGGTACATTATAATAAGATCCCCATAAACCCCACATTCTATCTACTTAAGGGGGATTAGTAAACCCAGTAGACAAAGGCACATGTGTCCCCCCGGCTTGCAAGCTGGGACATGAACGATCTCCTTTGGGTTGACTTGTACGTTGCGAACTTATATTAGGATTTAGGGTCTAGGGTTTTGCTTGTGGGACTTAGGGATTGGGAGTTGTCCAATCCCTTCCCCGACTGTGAAAACCTCCCGCCCCCCTCATATCAAACATCCCCATTGTATTGTATGATAGTATATTTGGAACATTCAATTCTGCGTGGAGTGGTGCCAACATCAAGGGTCTGTGATATTGGTTCCCTTAGCTACACCGGTACACTACGCTCCCAAAGGTTCCCATTGATTGGCCCGAGAAAGCCCCAGAGAACCCGAAGCAAACCCAGTTAGGGGGTGACCCTTGAAAAAGAAAGTATGGGGGTTTCCAAAATTTGTGGGTCCCCATAAAAAGGATTATAGTATCTTGGGGTCTATATCAGGGTTCCCTGCTTAGTGAAACTCTTGTATAGGGTGGGTAGTAGAGGAGCCCATGATGTAGGGCTGCGAGTTTGGCGTCGTTCAATGTTTAGGGCTTAGAGTGTGATTCCCCAAGTCCCAAGTTGGGCTGTTGTCTCTCGTAATTTGTGGGGTTGGAGGTAACCGGCAGGCCGAGGGACGGCATTTCGTGTGGGCTGCACCGCTACGACAAAACAGGGTTCGAACTTCGCCTTCTTGAAGTACGCGTTCGCCGCAATGTTGATGGATGATAGAAGATGATGCTTGTTCGTTCGAGTAAGATTCAAAACATCCCTAGAATCTCCTTATGGTTTCTAGCAGGTGCTCCCAGACTGTCCTTGTCATTCCCACACACTTTTTTTGGGTCCTTAAGGGCACCCCCAATTTCGAGAAACCCTTACCTCAATCAAAAACTGGCCTTTGGTTAGCAAGGAATGAAGGACGGGATCCTTATAGCAGTCCCTACACAGCCCTTTATGGTTAGTTTCCGTTTTCTTTTGCATTGCTTCATTCCCCAAAGGGTCCACTTATACAACTATTAGGGAATTGGGACCCAGAATTCCCTCTACAGTAGGGTATTTTGGGACCTAATTCCCTAATTGTTGTATATGTGGACCCTTTGGGTTCCCAGCTAACCATAGGCCAGATAGAATTGAACGGCCGTGGAGCAAAGGCTCTCCAATATTGGCAGAGCAAACAGGGCCTACACCCCTAAACCTTGGGTACTGCCGCCACTCTAATCCAGGACCCTCCTTGTACCCGTAATTGGGGATATATGGTCCCTAATAGTAGGTACTTACGCCCCAATAGAGGGTAGGAGGAGGGTCTAGGATAGCAGTTGGATAGGGTTTATAGTATAATATGACCCTTATTATAGACTGTTACAGGGTGGGGGCAGTACCCAAGTTACACCTTTCTCAGCCCTAAACCAGAAACCCTTACGCTGTTGCCCTCCACTACGTCAGCTCTGACCAACTCTGGCGATGTTACTTCAGCATATTTACCTTCGCCCAGACAAGCCTGGACCCCCCTTGGAAATCGCGCAGCAATCTTTATTGTATACCCCCTGAACCCTAAACCCTATAGATATTTAATATAGCATTATCATCCCAATGGATTAAGCCCACCGAACGACCATCTCCCTAAAACCCCTATAGCTCCCTTTCAGGGTAGGGTTTAGTGTTTAGGGTATAGTTTTGCTAGGGTATAGTTGCCTTTAAGTAGATAGAGTATGGGGTACATGGGGATCCTAGTATTGCATTGGGTAATTCCATAATCTATCTCCTTAAGGGGCACTATAAACTCTAAACGCAGAGGGCATAAGGTTGAATTAGGGTTGAAGGTTCAGGTTTTAGGCGTCTGAACTGCGCACCTTGAATTTTTAGCTTTGTTCGGAGTGTCGCGGACATGGGTCTAGTTTTTAAGGTTTAGGGAGTCCCCGTGACTTGCCAAGTTTGCAAAACTACTGGTGTGGGGGATGGGCTCCCTTCAGTCGTGCCCACACAATCCCCCTTTGTGCTCCCAGAATCCCCTTCCTTCATTCCCTGCTAGATACTGGGACGTATACACTCTAAACCCTGAACCTGAAACCCTAAACTCTTCCTATCAGCCCCACATATCCCCTTGACGCCTTCAGACGGCCTTCCACGTCCACGGACACAAACCCACTTTTTGGTTCAGGTGCATGCAAGCCTGGCACTTAAAATCCAATTGTACTATATCTCAAACAACTACATCATTGGGCTACAGCTGCGGTTGCTAGGCATGTGTTTCTACCAAAATGAAGCTCCAACGCCTCAGCTCTAGCCACTAAACCCTCCACCTTAATCCTTACACTTAGGGGGCTTAGTAGGGAATGAGGCTGTATTTTACAGGGATTACATGAGGATTTTTATCCCTTATTCCCTTCAAGCCACCAGCAAATAAACCCAAATCCCTTATCCCTAAAAGCCCTGAAGACTTAAAAACCTCAACCCTAAATCCCTATAAACCCTCAGCCCGGGTGTGGACCCTAAACCCTAAACCCTAAGGTGTGGACAACATGACAATGAGTTGGGGACTAGAGGCGCGGGTCCCGTACTTGGACCACAAACTCGTTGAGGCGTTGGCACCGGGTTGCTGTGGTTCAGGGGCAAAGGGTTTAGGGTTTAGGCTAGTATTTTACTTGGGGATACTATGGTACCCATGATAGAGTAAGATTAGATCCTCCTTTGGGGGTATAGTATCTCATATAAGGAATAGTAGCTTACTAGGTTTAACCACCAAAAAACGCTACTCAATTTAGGGATTGCATACGGATGTACTTTGTGGGGCCCCACACTGAGTGGTTAGGTAGCCAACTTATCAAGGGGTACAATTACAAAAGGGCTACAGTATAATGTATCACAAGTTAGAATCTGGCTTGTAGGGGAATGAGCGTATGACATTAAATTCTGTTACCTAACTTCAAAGCCCCTCAAGGTATAGGATTTAGGGGAATAGTATCCTAGGAAGGCAATACCAAAAGGAAAAGAATTTGGAACATTGGAACATGACATGAAACCTGTGATTCAGCCGCTTCTTTCGTGGAAAGGGGCCTGCATTTTCTTTGGGGATTTGGGACAGGATTTTATAGGGTTTTGGGATGCAGGTTTAGGCATTAGAGGACTTCCGTATCGAAACCCCCCAGCTATGAGGACCCTATGCGAGCCATATGACAACTACCGTAGGCTCGTTAGGAACTTATTTTCAATTTCTATTATAGTATAGCCCTAAGGAATTATGTAAAACATGTTATTTTATTATAGGTATCAGGATATTACAGACTATAGGGTCCTTGCTAATAGCGAACAAGAAACGTAGTAAGGCCTGAACCCTGCACCCTAAACGCTGAGCCCTAAGCCTTAAATCCTAAACTCTAAACCGCGTGGCCTAAAGCCTAAACCCTAAACCTCAAACCAGTCGTTTCCTAGGAGGCCATGGCCGCGCCCGATGAGTTAAAGCTGCGAAGCGGCGGAAAGTACCTCCTCAAGGTAGGGTTCAGGAGTTTAGGGTTTTAGGGTTTAGGGGTGTAGGTTTTAGGGCTTTAGGGTTTAGGATTCAGGGGTTTAGGGGTTTAGGGTCTCTTGGAGGGTCAATAATGGGGATTGCTAGGGTTACTAAATGGGTTATAGGGGTTGTTAACCTACTTACTAAGTCCCTCTGGACCTCCAAGTGGGTCCTTCTAAAGGGGATGTAGTTCAGGGTTTGGGGCTCAGGGTCTAGGGTCCATCTGAAGGGGTAATAGAGTTAAGGGTTTAGGGTTGCATCCAAGGGGTTTTAGAGTTTAGGGTCTAGGGTCCCTCTAAAGTGGTTCTAGAGTTTAGGGTTTAGGGTCCCTCTAAAGGGCTTATAGAGTTTATAGAGTTTAGGGTCTAGGGTCCTTCTGAAGGGGTTACAGAGGTCAGGGTTCAAGGTCCCTTGAAAGGGGAAAAGAGTTTAGGGTTTAGGGTTTGGGGTTCAGGGTGTAGGATTTGGGCTTGAGGCTTTGGGGTTTATCAGGTAGAGTACCCGCTCCAAATAGGACAGACCCTCTAAGCAACGCGGTCAAGGCCGACTATGCTGCTGTCCCGTGTTTTTCTGTGGGAGATGCCAAGAGTTCAGAAGGGTATGTACAGGATGTCCCAGGTATATGCACATATATATATATATGTATGTATATATATATATGTGCATATATTCTGTCTATGTGTATACTAGGTAAATATGGGAACCCAGAATCAGCAGTAAATGGCCTTGTTTCTTAGGAATGGCTTCGGGGCTGATAAGGATAAACCGTTCAACACAAAGCCCCAAGCCCTAAACCCTAACACCCAACCCCCCTAAAACCCTCGGGTTTAGGGCTTAGGGCTAAACCCTAGAATCCAAATCCAAAGCTGTAAAGAGTGCTGTACACACGAGGACGATATGTTTGACGATATTCAGGCTTCCACATGTTTGCAAAGGTGTCATGGGGCGTTGGGGCCTAGGGTTTAGGGTTCAAGATTGGTTGTTGTTTGTTTTGTCTTTTTTTTGCTTGGGGGGAGGATAGGATTTACGCTTTACGGGCTTTTTGGGTGCAGAGCTTGAGTTTTGGGATGTAGCGCTTGCTTACTCGGATCAGAGCTTAGATTGTCACTAAGTATATGTACTTACATAACCCCCAAGAAAAAAGCACCGGCCCCGACCATTCCCATGATAGCCCTAGATGCTCAGTGCCCTTACCCCCCCAAATTTGGAGGGAACCCTAAACCCTAAGCCCTAAACCAGCTGCAGGGCTTGGTATGTGGGATGACATGTTTTTTGCTTATAATTTCGGGCTTTAGGGGGGTCGGAGAGGCTGAAGGACCAAGCCCTGAAGCCTAAACTGTTCTTGGGGTTGTATAAAACCCCTCTGCGCGCACGTTGCTGGGACAAACCATAAGACTCAAATAAAACGAAAACGTCAAACACCGTCAAAAACGATGAGCTTTTTTTTGTTTAGAGCTGCTTCGGGCAGAGCAAATGATGACGGGGTTTTAGACAACCTAACTTGGGCCCTGCGGGTGGCAAACAACAGCCCTTGTTGCTTTGAGATGCCGGTAGTCTAATTTGGGTTTAGGGCTCATCTGTCAATTTCTGGCAAGGGCTCCAAGCCCACCTTATACTTGAGACTCATCCCGGAGGTTCTTGGGCGCCCCCTCCCCCCCTGTCCAGAGTATTTTCGCCTCAAGGGCAGCTATGGATAAAGAATTCCAAAGTGGACCTTTTGAGGTTTTTGAGTATTGTTTACTTGAAGTATGGCGGGTGTTCCAGATGCCAGGGGCCCAAAATGCAGGCCCAAATAGTCACTGAGTCCTATGGAGGCTCCCCGAGAGGGATATTACTGTTTGATGATCGATATGAGCTATAGTCTCTGAGCTCCCTAAAGGGAGATATATAGGGGATTATATAGGGAGGATTATTAGGGTTATTCAGGGGGATATTAGACTACAGCTCATCTAGGGCGCTCGGAAATTTGGGGCGTCACATCCGTAAATCCTGCCAGGCGTAAGTCCTTTTCCCCAAAAGGAAAGGATAAAATCCCCCCTAGACCATAATCCCTAAACCCCTAAACCTTAGAAAGACCAGCACTAACTCCTACCTGCAGGGCCAGTAGCCCATAATTATACGTAAGGGTTTAGGGTTTAGGGTTTGGAGGTATAAGGTTTATAGTTTAGCCTGTAGGCTTCGTTCAGAGTTTAAGGTTTAGGGTCTACTTTTCCTAGATTCCTACCCTTTGGGGAGTAAGTGGCGCATTCTGTTGCGTAATCAGGCTTTCCAAGAAGACTCTAAACCTAAACCCTAAATCTCTTCCCTAAACCCTAGGCGCTTTTCGCTGCTTACCCTAAGGGTCCAAGTACTTAATAATCATATACTTACCCAAAACCTATACCAAAATCACTATATTGCCCAAATCCCAAGTACCTAATTATTGGGTACATGGACCCTCTGGGTTAGGAAAGTGCAAGATCCCCATCCCCATGTCTGGGCCACTGGGAACGGTTCAGGACTTAGGTTTAGGATTTAGGGTTTAGGATTTAGGGTGCAGGGTTTAGGGCTTAGGGTTTAGGATCTAGAGTTTCGGGTTTTGGGATTTAGGGACAAGTGGGGGCGCCCAGTTAGCGCAGTTTAGGGTGTAGGGTCATGGTGTAGACAGCGATTACTATGTAGCCCATCCTGCATGCCCCACTAACCACCAGTAAGTCAAGACTTTAGCTGGCGAGGCCTCAGTGCAATGACCAGACCATAGCCAGAAGCTGAATTTTTCATACGTTCAGCACTGCATTTCTGTTAAGGAGCTTAAAGACAGTTACGAACGTGAGACAACCATATTGTTCATCAGAAATCCATAGTATGGTAACTTGAATCACGATCCTTAAGCAGCAGCCCATTAAAAGCATATACCTATGGCCCCCCTTGAAGAGATATAATATGTGGTATATGGGGATATTATTATGATATCCCCAAAGCCATATTCTATCTACTTAAGTGGACTATAGGATGTACGATTCGAGGAGACAATCCCTACATGCTTTTTTCCAAAGATCAAGGATTTCTTGTGGGAGTGCTTATAGCAACTTGAGGTTAGGACAGGGGGACCCGACTTTGTTGGAAATCCCACATGACATAGTCCCTTAGTGTGATACCTGCATGCAACTGAAACCTAACCCAGCGCATTCTGTGACTTCGCATGCGTCATAGACTGCTTATAGTGTAGCGTATGACTTACCTGGACCCCAAAAGTACGTAGAATAATGGCCCAAAACCCTCAAATCTAGCCCAAATGGCATTATTCTACTTTTGGGGTTCAGGTAGCCTGAAAGTTGCTAAAGGGCTTTGTTGCGTCTCGTGCCTCGCCTCTGATTTCGTAACTTTGTTCTTTTGAGGCTTAGGGCCTTTAGGGCCTTTAGGGTTTAGGGGAATATTGTGTCATGTATTGGTTGAGGGCTTACAGCCAACAATCCACTCACATGCTTTGCGCAGTTTTGGCTCAAAGAGGCCCCTACAGCAAAAGAGGGCCGAATGAAGTGGTTAAGTCAAAATAGGGAGCCCATTCTGCTTAGGTGTAGGGACCCTACTGGCCTTGTACGACCTAAGTCCTAAATATCGTTTTCCCGCTTCTAAGGGTCATGTAGAACTTTCAGTGTCAAAAGTAACCTGAGGCATAGTGGCTCAGCGGCTCAGCGCTACAGCAATCAGGTGCTGTGTAGGACGGCTAGCAGGAAGACCTTGCAGCCAGCAGGGTTTAGGGTTTGGGGTTTATAAGGTTAGGGCTTAGGCTGCAGAAAGCCTCGGTCATTAATTTCCGACCTTTCAGACCCCCTTGTATTTGCGGCCATAACCATTGAAGTCTGGAAGTAGAAGGCGTTTCGCTCTCCAAGCTTCATGGTCTATATACTCTATACTTTGTCGTATTTCACCTGTCAGAACCATCCGAAAAGTCAATTGCGTTGCCTAGTGCAGTAATAGCTGTAGCTTACACCACTGCAACTTAGTTTTCCAGCCTAGAGTCACGCTCCGACTTGTCATGGTTTGCTGAGTGCGCGCGGGGAACACCGATACATGGCAAGTTTAGGTAAGCCTCCGCTTGGGAACTACCCTACATGCGTATGGCGCGTGGTGTTCGGCAATGCTACAAAACTGAATCAAGGGAAGAGTAATGCCAACCAGTCAGACGTATCAGTCTTACCATTGCGCCAAAAGTTTCTATGTTCTCAAATACGCATAGGGCAAGGTTTTATACGGCAATTTCCCAAAATAGGGGAACCCCAATATAGACCCCAATAATCCTTGGTATGGGGTCCCCCCAAAATGGTACTCCTAATTTTGGGAAACCTCCCTTTGAAGAATTCCCGTAAACCCTAAATCTTGAACCCTAGACCCAAAGAGCAGTCCCCTTGAGGGGGATCCCGAGAAAAGAGCAGCTCCTTGTAGCGGAGTCCATAGGCTCGGAGACCGTCATTTAGGCCATGGTCTTAGGGTTATACTTAGGGTTAGATGAGGGGTATATTACTGTTAAATCGGGGTTATATTAGGGTCATATTTGGGGTTATATCGGGGTTATATTGGGGTTACATTGGGGTTATGGGAAAGAAAATGGAAAGTACTATTTTGATTGAGCATACAAGCTTCTAGGTTTTTTGCTTGTTTAGACCCCTTCACCGCTGCCAAGCAAGAGTAGCTCCACCACGAGTTGTGGAAGTGCCCCCAGGAAGTACCAGCCATAGCCCAAGTTGCATCGAAGTAAGCCATATCATACGAACACCGCCAGGTTAGCAACGAAGTAGTTATGATTTATGATGGTCTACATCACAGTCCATCTTAACAGCGGTCCAGGATTGTGGATTTGTAGCCCCGGCAAACAAGGGGGCATAGGTGAAGGGAGATTCGGTAAGGCTGACCTGGGGTTGAAGCTTGTGGGGAGGAGCAAAGGCGGGAAAGACCCAACTTATGACCACGTAATATCCTACAATCCTTTAGACTTGCATATGAT